TCACCCTTCTTATATATATATATATATATATATATATATTTGTTAGAATTTTGTTGATTGATTTTTTTATTATCTGCGTTAAAATACTTATACAATGTTTTCTTTTAATCATAATTCAATGCTTCAAAAAACACAATAACATCTATATTATGTGTCATGTATCGATATGTCTTGGAAATCATCTATAATTCAATATTTACTACAGTCACAGGTGGTTATACCGGCCATAAGAGCATCTGTACACTCTTTTCGATCATATTTGTAATTAAATCACTTGCGTAACGTATGACGCATATTTTGACGAACATTTTGACGTAGGTTGAAAAAAATAATAAAGTTGTTTGCCCGTAGACAGTGTTGATTGGGATTCACCAAGTTCTGGTTGAAGTTGTGGGCATTCTTCGAAAAATCTGACGTCATACTTTCTCTTTTTCGGTTTGTTTATTTGTTAGAATATATAATTACCGGAAGTTGAAGCATATTTTACAGAGTTCTTTGCACAGATGAATAGTTCCACATCAGGTTGTTCTGGTATCTAATTTTCGTTCCTCCGCAAACATTTTTTTCTTTTTGGTGTTGTATACTTATATTTGGTTAAAATTACTGTTTATACCTCATGTGTATAGTTGTGTCAAAGTTTTGTTGATTTTGAGTGTAATTTGAATAATAACCATGCATTTTAAATAGTGTGAAGTCAAAATGTGAAAATAATCAAATTTATATATTGCATGACAGTAAAAATATACTTCAGAATTACCAGACCCTTTTTTTTAAAAGTTTACCTTTTTTTTAATAAAGAAATTTCGATGTAATTTTCGATGCAATTTTCGGGTCAGCAATTATATTTATTTGTGATGTTATGTAATGTTTGGTGATCTAATAACGAAATACCCAGTAGTATAGGGATGAGATTAACACATTATTTAAGAGATTTTTATTTTAATCAGCTTCAGTTTTTTTTAAAATTATTTTTCTTTTGTTTTCCTTTTTATATTATTTTTGAATTACATCTAGGGAATGATTTATGGAGAGTCCATACCTTCGAGACACTCACAGGATATTCTGAAGAAATCAGTAATATACCAGCTTATTATTCATGGGAAATACGTCCTACTAACAAACAATTTTATTATTATTATTTTTTCTTCTTTTTCAAATCCGCTGATTCGTTAAAATAAAGAGTTCTCTTACGCCTCTGAAGAGCCCAAGAAATGGAGGTCGCTGGATCATTCAGATTGGTCAAATAGTTTTTGAGAAATCGAATTTTAAATTCCTGAATTTTAAGTACCACTCTCGATTTTTCAAAAAATATTCTACCGATTCCTTTCGAATTCGGTATTTTGCCATATAAAATTACGTTTCTTAAAATGATGTTAAAGTTAGTAAACCTTGCAATTAAATTTTTTTTCCCAATATTATTAAATTGAAAAAAAAAAAAAAAGTTCTTATCAAAAATTATTTTTCGCATGAAAGTTTCTTTGGATTAATGAGTTTTATAATTTGGTGCATACACTTTTCAATTCGCTTAAAAAGTTCCTCCAGTTATGGCGGAATTATAGAAAGTAAAATTAACTTTAAGGGTTTCAAATTTTTCACCGTTTTCCTAACCAAACCATCGGAATCATATTTCCCAGATACAGTTTACCTCCTGTATTTTGGCGGAGGAATCATTAATTCATCGAGAGGCGGGGGGGGGGGGGGGGGGNNNNGGGGGGGGGGGGGGGGAAGTGATGTTTTTACTCAGAGTAAGTATGTTTTTTGTACATCGTTTTGTCTGCAATAACTAATTATCATATTTGAGGTCACCCCTCGAACTATGGAGATTGAGTCCTGGTACGTGAAAATTTGATCATTAGATCAGTTCAGGATATTATGTTTATTTAGTTATTTATTTTTGCTCGCTACATTTTTTAAAGTGTTATTTTTCCTGAAGGGCGCTAAATTGTTTAAATAATAAACTAAAGATATGAATTAAATAATAAAAAATTATTTTTATTTTTTTCGTAGTGAAGGTTAGACATTATTTCGTTTCATTTAACTTTGTTATATTTCGTCTCACATAAGTAGTTTATACTTTAAATAATTAATTTCAAAATATTTATATGTATTTGATTTTATTTTTTAAAAAAAAAAAACGAGAAAGATGGTAAATCATCTGCCGATTTTTACTCTTTAAAGGTCAAGTGGCATGACCTTAACCTTTTAACTTATGCGATTATAGAGAATTTTTTCTGCTTACAACTTAGTTTTTGTCTCTTGAATGAATTTTTAATTATTGAGGTAACTTTGTTTTTGGTTCAATGAAACATTGACTAATTTTTAATTTCTTAATTTGGAACTTCTGTTAATGCTATGAAGTTATGACTTGTAAAAATAAATAAATAAATAATCGATGAAAATCAAGGTGCAGTTAAAATTTATCAAATGTTCCACGCTCTTTGATTCGAATATCTGAATAAACATCAGTTTTAAGCAGTCGTTTTTAATAAAGTGATATATTTTTTTGTTGTTGTTTACATTGGGAAAATGCTGAGTATTGTTTTATTATTTGATTTATTATTTTTCTTGTATTTCCTATGTTGTGTAATTCGCAATAGCATTCACACAACTATCGTTGATTATTAGAAAATAATTGCGCTCGTAATGTGATTATCAATTTCGAGGAACTTCCCCACCATTTTTATGCCGTATTTATTATTTCCTAGTAGTATTAATAAAGCTATAATTTACTATTCGAAAATAACTTCGCTCAAGACGTAATTATCATTTTCAGGATACTTTTTCCATCATCTCTGTGTAACATTTATTAATATTTCATTGTATTATTAAAAATTATCGTTCTGTAAAATTCGTTTGCTATTAGGAAGAAACTTTTCGTCACATGATTAACATTTTATGGAAATTTTCTCTCCATTTCAACGGGATATTAATTAATTATTATTATTATTATTGTAAACATAACTTTTTCCAGAATATTGAGTTATAAATCATTATGTATTTAGCATTCTAAGATTAGTTCATTTGTTCTTGTATTGGTAGCTATTTCTGCGCGATATATTTCTTGAAATAAAATCAATCGTTTCGCGTACTTTAAATTTTTTATTCCATTTTCGAATAATTTATTTTATTAGTCCCTCTTTCTGTTAATTTCGACATTATAATATATGTAACTCATGTGCAATGTATGTAACTCACGTGCAAAAGAAAAAAAGGACTGGCAGAGGAACTGTAATACCTTCTAATACCTCTTACTTGAGGTTTCTAATAAATTTACCACGTTTTTCCCTCTTCTTTTATAAAAAAAATTTTTTATCGTTAAAACGGAATCTTAACGAAATATTTTATCACAAACACTATGAACTACAATCTGCGAACTATATTATTGTAAAAAAGGATCCGTCGCAAAATATTTTTAGTTTTTAAAACCCTTCACAAAATTCTTCCTTTGACGTTTAACGTTAAAATTACGAATTAAAGTTTTTAATTCATAATTTTAAAACTACAAATCCTTGAAAGATATGGTGTTTTTCATTTATAATATTTATTTAATTCACTTAATAAATAATAGTAACCCTTAACTAAACTTTGAATGTATAACATTATAAGATATATAGATATATATAATTTTTTTTTTGTATTAAGATAAATTTAATTTCAGTGTGGTAGGTGAAGATACAATGTTTCACATTATTAGCTTTTTCAAACTCCACCTTTTCATAGCAATACCAATTTTTATTAAATTAAAGTAAAATTAATAATTTATAAATATGGAATGTATTTCTTCACCATAGTGTTTTTGTTTCATATTATAATTATATATTATTTGTGGTAAGTCTAAGATAGAACGTGCTTTTAAATCTTGCGGGAGGGAGGTGTCCTAAATCTATGTATGCCACTGAACTCACATACAGAAATTAATTAAAATAGATAAGTATTATACATTGTAATGTATTTCTTAAATATTTGAAACTTTAATTGCAATTTCCTTCTGTATTCTGTAATTTTTACTTTCTTACTGTTTACATAAATTATTAAAGATATGAATGTCCATTTTGATGTCCATTTGTCCATTTTTTTGGGAAATCTTACTGATGAGAATGAAGATATGTGAGTAAATGTACTTAATTTAAAAAAATGCTGAAGATATTTGAAACTCTGTAAGTACATAAAAGACCTTCATACCAACTATGATTAATTATTTACATAACATATAGTACACCATACTGATCGTTGAGGGATTTTGCTTCACTTTTGTCTATGAAAGAATAATTACTAATCAAAGGTTAATAAAGAGTTGTAATCCTTTATTATTTTTATTTTCCTTATTTTCATATTAATGAAATTTTGTATTATTACATATTTTTTGATTTATAAAACTTTTATTTAGTTTTATTTAACCATATTTCTTGATTCTGTTATTTAAATATGCAATTTTAGTTGTTTAGCAATTCATATAAAATTTTTTGTATAGCTGCCACCTGTTTTATAAGTCTCATAACATGGAAATTTGGATGATTTCTTTTGAGATGCTTAATAGTTAAGGAATTTAAATTTTTTTAAGTTTTTTTTTTTAAGTAATTATTAGGATTGATTTTAAATTTTAACATAAATATCTTGCCTAACATATTTTTTTACTGATTATTATTATTTATAAAAATTTCTGAAGCTCTAAAAAAATTAATAAAATCGGAAAATTCTATGAATTCCGAACTAAATTAAATTTTTATGAGAATTCCTATGTTGGCAGCTATGCTATTTGGAATTAGACAAAATTAAATAGAATTGAAATTTCTTCATTACAATCTTTTTTAATTATTTTTAATTTACCCTTTCAGCTCCCTGTGGCTACTTGAAGAAAACAAACCCTGGTAATGAACTAGTTCAAAATGAATCATTCAAATATTTTCCAACCAAAAATGATTTGCTTATCAAATTCAAAAAAAGCACCTCTTCAAATTTTTCTAGTTCTACTAGTTATGAGAAAATTGAGCGAGAACACTTAGGAGTCTCAAAATCCCTCAACGATATTACGGTGTTGCGGCAAGAAATAAATAACAATTTTGTGGACGCGCTAACAGAACCTAAAAACAATCAAAAAGGCAAAGATACTCAGCAAAGTAGCATTATTTTGAAAACTGTCAAAGAGGATAAGTGCAATAGTAATCCATCTTTCAGTTCTTTACCTACCTCTAGTCTTTTAAATGCATCTAACACTGTGCCTTTTGTCACCACACAAAATGGAAATAAAATGCTTTTAGTAATTCAAGAAAATTCTGATTTATCAACAGAGACGCAATCACCTTTTAAAGTTGACTATTCCAATGCACAAATACCATCTTCATTGCCATATACTGCTCAAGTAAATGATTTAAGCTTTTCAAGAAGGAATGGTGACATAGAGAACGAGATGCAGAATACTGCTATGTCTGGTATTTCACCTTCTACAACTTCACAATATGGAAATAAAAATAAAGTTGATTTGCAGCATATAAATTATAGAATCTCCACTTCTGTAATTGAAAACAATAAAACTCTACAAATGGAAACAACTTCTGTTGAAGGCCAGAGTTTCCATTTGCCTAGTTCTATTTACGGTACACCAGCTTCTACAGTTGAAAAGATGTTGACAAATCAGGAGACATCTGATAAAGTCAATAAAGAGGGAAAAACAAGTTTTCTTCAAGAAATTTTGGAGCAGAAATCAGTAAAATCAAAAATTAACAGTTCAGATTTGAATAGTGAGATTAAAAATGTTGGACCTGATTCCTTTGCTGCTTCTGCAACAACTTTCTCCAACCTCAATTTACCAATGAGTGACAATGAACGATCATATCCTAAACTCAAACTGAGTATTCCTGATGCTCTGGCAACTGATGATTCCAACTCATCTGTATTCTCTACAGAATCATCCAAATCTTTAAAGTTTCCAAGAATTACTAGTCCACAAATTTTAGAGCAGCATATAAATAAACTTATATCAAATAATATTGCCATAATTGATACCGTTGATGCTGTATGGTCTCGTCGCTATTCCAAACAAATTAGTACATCTGCAGCTCCTGATGGAGAGTCCAAAAAAGTTGCACAAAAACCTGAAAAACCAAATGAAGAAAAAACTACATCTCTGAACTTTGTTGAAGGTGGAGCTAAATCTAAACTGCAATCGGCTTTGCTGAGAGGCTCAGAAGAAGTTATTGCAAACTCAAATAAAAACTCTTTACTGCCTAAAATCCCTTTATCTAAAGATAAAATTCCTTCGCAAATTAATAATATTCCAAATAATGCTGTACCTGTAACACCTTATACAAAAGTAATTACGACAGTATCTGAAGAGGAACTGAAAGGAAATGCTATAAAAAGCCTGTTAAGTTTGAGACAAGGGCAATATATAAAAGAAACAAATGTTTTTGATAAAGATGCCTTTGCTCAGCATCCTCAAAATCCTGAGGGTAGCATAATCAAAGATTTGCTCTTAAAAAGTAAATCACAAGAGGATTTGCGAATATATAATGAAGATAATTTTTATGAAACATCTTACCAAAGGAAAATTTTGAATCATAGATTAACCACTCCATTGTTCAAATGCTCTCGCTGTAATGCTGAATTTCCAGATAAATTCTCTTATGAAAATCATTGTGCTCTATGTTCAAATTATATTGGAAATAACCTGTTAGCTCTCAGGGATCATGTTAAAGATATAAACGCACAATCTAAATCATTATCATTAGAGTGTCAGAGTAAAGGTAAGAAAATAGTTCAACCTGAAAATTTAAACACAGTTTCAATAGACGATGATGATGGACCCATTTTAAAGAAACAGCTCCTAATGCCACTCGCAAAGAGTCCACCAATTAAGAGAAGAAAAGTTTCTGATTCTGTGATATCACCTTCTTATTTTTCTAATCAAAACAATGATTTAAAAAATTTTTCCACTAAATTGCTAAACTCAGATTTGATGCCTTATCGTAGCCGATCTCAGAGTGTACATTTATTTGGCGGAGAAGTTCAGGTTTTAGATGGCTACAGAACAAAAAAGATAAAAATACAAAATTTACATGGTGCCTTTTCTACATTACCAACAAAATTTACAGATAATTCTGTTGTTAAACCAAATTTTTCCACTGATATAGATAATGATGTGAGCAATTTATCTGCAGCTCTTGTTACTATTGCTCAACCAGTGCATAACTCAGGAGGCACGCTTCATTTGCCAACAAGACTGACTACCTCTTGTTTAACTCCTACAGTTACTGCTCCAAATGCTATTGCAGATGTTTCTAATTATACTAGATTGGAATCTGCAACAGCAAGCTCAAATGTATCTAAAACTATCCACATACCCTCCAATAGAGATACCCAGTTCCCACTATATAATAAATCAGTTTTAAAGCAATCACAGACTCCAGAGCTTTTCTATAGCTCTGTTAAGGGCAGCGTACTGCCTGGTCCTCCAAATGATGAGTTATCTACGATAGTGAAAGCTAATGTTTCACCATCAAATAAACTCTTTTACTCTCCTATTTTTTCTACAATAGATGACAAGTTTGAAACCTTCACTAAGGGCAAAGATACTGAAAGTAAGGGTAGCCATGTTGTTCCTACTGTCTTATTTACTCCGAGTAGTCCAACTTTTTCAGCTGCTGATGAAGAGGTTTCACCTGCAAATAGCATATCAGAGCCAAATAAGAAATTCCTTGCACCAACTAGACCCACATCTTTGCCTTTGAAAAAGAAAGCCGTTACAATGGTTTCTTTTGGGACTGGGACAACTTTAATCAGCCCTGAAACTCCCAGACCTAAAAAGAATTGTGTACAGCTTTATTTAAATGGCCATGCTTATACTTATTTGGGATTAAAATGTTCAACCAGGTCTACATATTGTTGTATTTACCGTCCTCAACCAATGTTTGTTCTTCAAGATACGAATCCAAAGCTCTCTATGTATTCCAATTGGCAAGTTGTACCAGCAAAGGAAGAACTTTCAGGTTTCACGCCTGGCCAAATGATTTCTTTTTATTGCTCAAAACAAAAAAGAGACGTGAAATCAGTTACATCTGTCTCAAAAGTGGGAGAGCCATTGATATTTACTCATTCAAGCTATTGGACATACAGATCTAAAGATAGTGCTGAGCAAAGGGCAAAAACACCTGTATCGAATGATTTAAATGAGATTAAAATTTCAGCAGAAGCTGTTCAGGTACCTTATTTGTTCTGCCAATTATTTTTTTAATTAAATACATAATTAAATTGAATTATATTTCTTAAGAATTTTTTTTATTTAATTGAAAAGCTTAGTTAAAGAATATTTTTAAGCATTTCAAAAATTCTAAGTTCAAGAACATGTTTGCCATAACTGGCTGTTCTCTCAAGTTTTTAATTTAGGCAGTTTTCAGAGGAAAAAAGTTTTTAGACTGCTCTCTGATGTATCTATACATCCTAATGCTGATTTTCTTTAATTTACTGAAATGTTACTAAATGTATCCTTTGACTAAGCTCTTCAATTAAAAAAAAAAATTTAATTAACAAAATTTTTTGATTGAAACGAAGATAAAAGAAATAAAGGGCTAGTGGCCATCTAATGATAAGCCACAATTACAAATTTTCTTACGAGTGTTTTGGGGAAAAACATCATGATATATGTTGTATCCAACAAGATGTTTATGGTAATTCCAGTAACTTTTTAAGTACCTATTTAAAAACAATGCTATTGAAAAATTTGATGTGAAGATATCTCATTTAAAAAAAGTATTGCATATTTCTCTCAATAACATAAAATTCTAAATATTTTAAAATGAAATGTTTTTATCTACTTTTCAATACTTTGCAAATAGTTATAAATAAATTGCACAGAAATGATCCTTTTTATGAAATAAATTCTAAAGTTATAAAGTATTTATTTGGTTAATATAATGCAGCGCAAAAGGATGCCCCAATTTTGAAATTGTGACATGGTTAGTCATGTGTTAGATAAAAACATTGTTTTCATAAAATCTGCAAGAAGTTTTCCTTTCGCACTTGTTTCTAAGATAGCAGAATCATATTTAGTTACTCAGTATTTTTTTATTTATTTTATTTTTTTTAAAATAACGGCAGGCACTTGAACTCTCGTTCTTCGCCTCGGAAGATGCCGGAAGTGTTGCTCATTTAGCGTTACCCAGTGGGCGCCTGTGAACCTAAGTCACGGAGGCGAGCAACATTACCCACGCCACACTGCCACAAACCTGTTCATAGGGTGGGCCACATTCACACATCACACACAACAGAGGACAGCACAGAGAGAAACATCCATGCCCAGAGCGGGATTCGAACCCGCAGCCATTGGCTTCGCAGTCAGGCACGCTAACCGCTCGGCCACCTGGCCGGCAGTTACTCAGTATAAACTCACCTTAATTGAGCTGGGAGAAATAATCTAGTTTTTAGGCTTAGGGAAAAGATTTAAAGTCTAAATATTGAAAAGTTAAATTTAAAGCATTATATGCTTAGTGCATGTTTTATATAATGCTTCTTTAACTGCCTCTAACATTATTGAATTAGCAGTCATCAAAGTAGTAAAGGGCACACTTTATCAATTACACTATTAGGATTAAAAAGTTCAATGTTTTCTGAATACATTGATGTTTCACGCAGAAAAACTCAACGCTCTAGGTGGGGACCAGATGTTGGGACATATTACTCTCATTTTAAAAAATAATATTAAAATGGATAAATAGATGACCTATATTAATGATTAGCAATTAGGACAATCCTAGTTACAGCAAGCAAAGATTTTATTAATTAAGACTTTTGATTAGATATATTATAGTAAGTTTAATTAAATATTTGCTGAAATCCCCTAAAAATAATTTTTAATCTAAGATAAGTTTATCGTAAGATAAACTTATCTAAGTTAAGTTATATAGAAAGTTAAGTTATATAGAAAGATAAGTTATATAGAATTTAATTTTCATTACTTGATACTTTAAAAATCATCACCAAACAAAAAATTAAAAAAATTGTTTTCCTTAAAAAAAATTTTCTTTATTGATACTTCGCAATTACCATTTATCCCTTTGAAATTTCAGAATCAGCTATATTGTTTTATGTTGATTAAGTTTTTTTTTGACTAGATGGTGTCTGACCGATTGATTAATAACATCGTTTTTTTACTTAATAATAATAAATTTATTTCTGAACTAATTTCAGAATTTTTAATATTTTATAGACATTCACTGCAAATATTGAAATAACTCTTTTTATTTGCTCCATCTTAATGAATTTAATTTAAGCTTCTAAATTAAATTTAAAACTCTTACCTTTTACAAATCAAACTACTTTCTATTCAACAGTATTTTTTATTTATTTTTTTACATTGGCCTAAATGGGATTAAGGTTAAGCTGCTAAACAAAAATCAGCTTAAAAGAAAAAATCTGGTAAAGAAAGTGTTTTCATTTAATTTTTTATCATTCAATCTAATAATGTAATGTAATTTAAGTTTGACATCTAATTTTCCCTAATGCAAAGAATCTCACATAAAATCTTTGTGTGTACATATATATATATACTACTAAAGCCTGTTACTCTATCAGCAATTCTTTTAGTATCTTACCGTGATTTTTTTATTATAAAAATGCGACACATTTTACAAATTAACCTGTACAGATTTATTTTAAAAATTTATATTTTTTAAGTGTGTATTTATTTAAGTATAGAAATTTTATTGTCTTAGTTTTCTGAACTATCTAAAAACTATCTATTTAAAAACTGTATTATTATAGGATTCTGTGCCAGCGGAAAACATTCGCAGTGAGTCTGTTATCACTATTGCTAGCAAATCGGATCGACCATTTTTATCTGGTGATGAATCCAGTATTCCAATAGACACTGAAAATACTTTGTCTGATGGTGATGTAAGCATTTATTCATTTTTCTTTTTACGATTATGATAAGTTTTATTTCTACTCTTAAAAAGAAAATAAAAATTTTTAAATTATTTTTTAAAAAAATATTTTCTATTTATCTTTAAAAAAAAAATTTAAAAATCCGGAATACAAAATAAAGAAAAGGTACTATATATATATATATATA